CAAATAAATGCGGATCTTGTCCCTTAGGGGGAGGGCAACGCCATTCAGGGCAGGGAAATGGCCCTCTACCATGTCCGTTGAAGCACCCACTAACAGCACTTTCATCTTGTCTGGATTGAGTTTCAATTTATTAACCCTCATCCCGTCTATTATCAGGTCCAGACATGAGTTCAGCACAGAAACCGCCTCACCTGGACTGGTGGAAAACGAGAGGTAGAGCTGAGTGTCGTCAGCATATTGCTGACTCCTCAGCCCAAACCTCCTGATGACCTCTCCCAGCAGGTTCATGTAGATGTTGAACAGCATGGGGGACAGTATTGAGGCCTGAGGAACCCCATGACATAACTGCCATGGGGCAGAGCAACTGTCCCCCAGCACCACCCTCTGGACACGGTCAGCTAGGAAGGAGTGGAACCACCATAAAACGGTGCCCCCAACTCCCAATCCAGCAAGCTTATCCAGAAGGACACCATGGTCGATGGTGTCGAAAGCCGCTGAGAGATCCAGGAGTATCAACAGGGTCACACTCCCCCTGTCTCTCTCCCGGCAAAGGTCATTGTACAGGGTGACCAAAGCAGTCTCCGTACCAAACCTGGCCCGAAACCCGATTGAAATGGATCCAGAAAATGCATTTCATCCAGCAGCGCCTGGAGTTGCCCGGCCACAACCCGCTCCAACACTTTGCCCAAATAAGGGAGGTTCGCTACTGGTCGGTAGTTAACCACCAGCCTTGGGTCCAGGTTAGGCTTTTTAAGGAGTGGTTGAATGGAGGGACGTGGTGGCGCTGTGGGCTAAACCGCAGAAGCCTGTGCTGCAGGGTCAGAAGACCAAGCAGTCGTAAGATCGAATCCACGCGACGGAGTGAGCTCCCGTCGCTTGTCCCAGCTCCCGCCAACCTAGCGGTTTGAAAGCATGCAAATGCAAGTAGATCAATAGGGACCACCTCAGTGGGAAGGGAACAGCGTTCCATGTCTAAGTCTCACTGGCCATGTGACCACGGAAGATTGTCTTCGGACAAAAATGCTGGCTCTATGGCTAGGAAACAGGGATGAGCACCGCCCCCTAGAGGCGAACATGACTGGACAAAAATTGTCAAGGGGAACATTTACCATTTACCCAATTTACGAATTACCGCCTCGGCTCTGTTTCAAGAGCCAAGTATCCACATTTTAATTCTGGCACCCTCTGCTGTTCCTTCAAGATTCACAGATGTTCTGAAGACACTTTTCCTTCATTTTAATCTGGCAGGGGCAGGACAGTAGCTGATAAAAGCTGAAAGTGCATACACAGCAGGCCTGCTCAAAACTACACATCAATCCACGGTTGAAATCACCAGGAGGAATCTATTTAAACTAAACTAGCCTTCCCCAACCTGCTGCTCTCAAAATATTTTTGCCTGGAACTCTCAGAATCCCCCAGCCAGGAAAACCCTCCTTCTCAGATAAAACTAACAAAAAAGGACGACTGACTAATCGATAAAAGCAAGGTTTGAAAATTACTGGAACAGTTCGTTTTTGCCAGGTGTTGCCTGTGTTTGGCACATA